CCGGTATAACCATTGTCTAAGCTCTCACTGTACTTGCTGATGCATAGCCACGCCCAGCCTTTTCTCATCACGCCGCAGCTGTGGAAAGAGATGGGACTAGGAGAACCACCCACAGGAACAGGGCAGCATCAGGAAATGACCTGCCGCGTGTTTAATGGCATGTTTGAGATGGAGCTTTTTAGTGGATGAGGGCCTGCAGGGACAGTTTCCTGTCTAGTCTCCACGCAGGGCTAACCCCTCTGAGACATTGACATGCTGCTGTTCGATGCGGACTTCTCCCATGAAAGGGAAACCAGAGTTTGACAAGCAGTCTTAAAAGCTGCCTCTTCCTTCGTTGTAAGCTTTTGGGGTGCTGCGTACCCTGACTTGTCACTGCAGTGCATTTGCTCACAACTTTTCATCAGAAGGAAAACGGAATCAAACATCTGTAATTGTGTGCCCCAAACCACGCGTCCTCTGCTTGTACTCCCTGTACAAGTGACTATGTGTTTCAGCGCAGAGGGGCACAGAAGAAAGCAGTAGGAAGGGAGAGAGCAATGGACCAGGTGAAGCAAGATAATTTCTGCCCTGGGTGGGGTGAGGAACCTGTGATTCCATTCCTGCCTGCCGGAATCCTTTCATGACTCGTGGACTTAGAGTGCCACCCACACTGTCTGCTTCTGGAGTTTAGTGGGAAGCCCTGAGCCCACTTTGAGAGAGTGGTGGCAGCCCGCCCCAGCACCAGAGACCCTGCTGGATGTGTGCTTCCCTCTGAGGGCACCAAACTCCTCCCCTCCTCTGTTTCATTCCGAATGCCTCCCTTAGTCAAAACACCTGCTTTCAACTACAAAGCCCTGAAAGCAGGAGATGCTCTGGTCTTGGCAGAGCTGAGGGCTGCTCCTTGTCGCCTGCCTAGCATGTCCCAGTCTCCCAAACGTGTGGGATGCGGCGCAACAGACAGTGTGGGCAGTGTGGCCCGAACCAGGTTCAGAGATGGTATGGTCTGCTTTTTGTCTTTATTACTCCAGAATATATTTTTAAAGAAGTGTTCTTTTTCAACAGATCCATAAATTGGTTCTTGATGTATGGTACTTTAAAAAATAACCACTGTCAGTTAAGCTGTGGTGTGATATTTTAGTAACCTCTCATTTCTAGTCTGTATCCTCGGACTGCAGGAGTGGCTTTATTGCTATGTTCAAGAGGTGTTTTTAACTAGCATAAAGGTTTTTTTTGTTTTCTAATTTGCATCTTTAAAACTGATTAAACAGCAGTCTAAAAATATGTGTGTGTTTTTGTTCATTTCGGAGCCATTGCGTTCACCTTAGAGCCGCATTCTGG